CACTAGGATAAGGATGATCAAGATGCTCGTGGAACCAAGCCCGCAAGATATCAGTCACAGGCTTGGGCAAATTCCCCCGTCTCCGCTTCGTCTTAGGATCAATCGGATCCCCCATAATTCCAAAATTCCCCTGCGCATGTCCCATCATCTGGGGTGACACCTGCTCATCCGCATACCCGATAGGAGGATGCCCATACGGCGACTGAGGGTGCATGATGGGCGCAGCGAAGTGCTCGCCGCGTGGATGGGGATCAGCCGACATCGCTACTGTGGGTCCGGGATGGCGATATTCCTGCGCGACGAAGGGATCAGAGCGTGGGGCCCGCTCGGAATATCCTTTGCTGGAGGGGTTTATTGCCCGGCCAGGCATGGAGTCCAGGTTGTGGATTGGGGGTAGAATTGGGCTGGGACCTCGGGATGCGTTCTCGGATAGATGCATGTGGTGATGACCGGGATCTGGCATGCGGGGCTGGTGTTCTGCGCCGCGGGAGACTGTGTATTCGCGGTGGGAATCGTAAGGCATGTTGGTGGACTGATTGCCATATGGGATTGAGCGGGGGTCAGTCATATCGTGGCCTGAGGGTGGGCGGTCTTGTGAGTGGCGGGGTGTGGTGTAGAACGGGGAGGTTGATTCAATTTCATCGTGAAGGTGGGGGGGAAGGAGCTGAGATATGTTAGATATTCCAGGTTGTATTTCTCAAAGGGACTTAGGGTTGTATATCTTACCTCGCGGAATGAGGGGAGGGTTTGGTGAGGGTGTCCGGTTGACGACTGGGTTGTATACGAAATAGCCATGTCGGTATCTTCGTCTACCTCGTGGGACTGTGACATAGACAAGGTGTTTGGGGAGGGACAATAGAAAATGGCCAAAGAATTTCACAATGTATTATAAGAATAGAACTATACTCGAGATAGTTAGAATCGAATATCAAGTTTCAAGATCGAGTGTAAAAGAAAAAGGTATCCAAAGAAACACTTACCAGGGAAAGCAGGCTGATTTTACGTTGACATGGTAAAATAAAAAAGAGAAAGGCCAAGATTATATGCAAGGTTGGGGAATGAGGGCAAAGATGGAAATGCGGTTTCCCAAATAATGCAGGGCCCCGTACATTATTTCAACCAAAAAAAAGTCGCCCCAAAATCTACAAAAATTAATTAAATTTAAATAAATCAGATATCCAGCTGCTACATGTCCATGGAAAAGCAAGAACAGGGGGGCCGAAAAATGACGATCGTGGGCTTTTGGTGGGTACAGTCCGAGACCGTGTCAAGGGCATAAAGTGCCTTAAAAAAGGTTCCAAGGTTGAGGGATCTCACGAACTACTTTTTTTTTCATATGTATTTTAGGCTTTCTAGCATTTTCATTGGATGTTATATAAAGGAATTTTTTTTAAAGAAAATAAAAAATAAAAAATAAAATAAAAATAAGTGTTCACTAGTGTACGTCAAAATCGGGGATCCCATGCCGGTGCTTGAAAGCTAAGTCAATATTAACCTAAAAAAGAGATATTCCTTTGAAAGCGAGAACGAGATATTTGAAATACAAGCTCACTGTACTCTGTATAAAAGAAAAGAAAAATATAGTTGAAGAAGAGTGGCGGGAGTAAGGAGGGGGGGGAAATCCTGTCATAATGTGCCTGAGTTAGGCTAAAGTTAATTACTTTGTAATTAAAAATTTTATATTAAATCAAATCACATTCTAATTGCTTTTTCTGGGGATCTCTGGTAGATTCAACAGGAAAATAAAAAGGGAGGAAATATCTATGGAAGTGTTGAATCAAGGAACTTAAAAGATATAACCTCTCGTGTTAAGAAAAAGGCAAAAGGAAAAAAAAAATTAAAAAAAAGAGAGAGTCCAAGCTAGGATTCAGACGACTCTAAATCGAAGGAAAAGATCACCGGTTCCAAGGAGGGTTATCACTGGTTCCAAAAAGATCGTGTTAGGGGAGCTTGACCCAGATGGTGGGTAAAAAAAAGACCAAAAATATTTTTGATTTCATTTGCACGAATGAAAAAAATAATAAAAATGACGCCTTGGCTCGATCGATCGGTGGGCACGGTGATTGATCGACCAGACGGAAGGAGGGGCTGGTATTGGTTTACAGGGATCGCCTACCGGAGTACGGAGAAGGGGTTCTTCAATTCAGCATCTCCACTTCCTTCGAGAGCCTGTGGCGTCTACTTTTCTTTGTTGTCTCCGAACGTCAGATCAAGGATCAGCCGGAGAACCCGCTTTGGCTTTTCCCTTTCTTCCTTTTTTCCCCTGTTCACGTTATGCACCCGTGGTGTGTTTGTGGCTGGAGATTTCATTGGAGCGTAGGGATGCTCTTGCATATGATATCTCTTAGGTGTGTCGCATTTTAGGTGCTTAGCTTAAAATGTAAAGTGATTTACGCTAATCTTTGCCTCGCGTATCGCGTCCAAACTAATCTGGAGCACTATATTCTGGAGCAGTTTCTCAGCTTGACACGACACACATCGCACTAACAGACCCGCTCTAGAAACTAGTCACATTCTGATAATTCAATAGTGGCGCAAGTTTCTCATGTCTGAACTTCCTGGGACCAAATGCAAGCTGAGCATGATCCAGTTGCCCGTCTGCCAATCAAATTGAAACAATGGAGTTCTTATTTCTTTTTTTTTGTGTGTGATTGGATAGGTTCCGAAATGAATTTTGTACCAAGAAAAAAAGTGTCAGAATGCTATATTGGAATTGTTACTTTTCCCCTTTATAGCCTTATAATCTCTATAACAACCCGTCTTTATCTGACAGCTGAGTCTATTTACTCCATACTTGGAAGTTTAATAAATTATTTGAACACGGCACCTCGGGCCCTAAGGTATGTCGCTTAGACCCCGTATTGCATTTAAGTTAAGACTCGATTCACTCATCAAAAAGAAGATCGCTCTTAAATTTATTTTATTTTATTCCCGATCGAAATTGGAACTACCCCCGAGGCTTCAGATTTACTGAGAATGACTTTCCTTTGATTTGCCATTCAGAGAGATCTCGAGTTGGAACTGGAAAAGTTATTTGATGAAAAATATCAAACCGAGGTACGGAGTACTCATAAGCTAAAGAAAAAAGAAAAGAAAAGGGAAAAAAAAAATTAGATTGAAATTTCAACCGATCGTCATACCTGCCATGCCATTAGGCCCCAAGAGATCCGAGATCGTGCATAAGGGAATGCAGATCATTAGATCTCGCAGGCAACCAGGATCGTCCCTGAAAAAATGACTGGTCCAAAATGCGGGTTGTCCAGAGCCAAAGCCAGAGAGGGGTAACCATAACATCCCCTCTTGCATACACTTTTGGTCTTGTCTACACTAGCGTCGGAGGAATTGCTCCAGATCGGTGGAAATACATATTTGAACCATGGATGCATTGATTTGTCATTTGCGTTTCCCGGTACTTGGGTCTACCGGGGTTTTATTTTTGGTTTTAATTTATTTATTTAATTCGTTCCCTGATATTTAAAATTCAAATTTTGATTCAATTTTGAGTGTCTAACTTTATTTTCATTATTCTGACATTTGATCTTTCTAAGGATGTGGGACATGATGTTAGACAATTGCTGATTCGTTCTAGAATAATCTTCCTTGAACTGTCATTCTTATCTTGTATCAGAAAAGTACTATCAGGAATATAAAATATAAGTCTGGAGCGTTATAGTACTACCTTGGAAGTACTAGCACAGTAACACAATGCAACCTTAGGCATCCCAAAAGGGCTTTCTGCATGAAACTGACCCCAAATTAACTGCCTAACCGTTAAGAGGTACGTGGCTTCTAGCAAGTATGAAGTACTTCGTTAGAATCTAGACAGTGCGGTTTGTTTTGCTTTTCTGGCTGCCCAAAACAACTTAGACTTGTGTCACAGGAGTAGTTCATGCATGTCTTAGGTATGCCAAGGACATAGTTCATGACAAGGCTACCAATCTCTTGCCGCCATGCGAAATAATATTACAGATTCCCTTCTCTATTGGTTCAATTAATCTTTTATTAGTTTGTGTGGGTCTTTTCTTTAAAAAAATGACATGGGTGGGTGCCAGGCCTCTCTTTCTTGAATGGGTTAGACAGTTAGGCAGAGCCCGGGAATAGAGTTCCTATTCGGTCCATGAAGTGGTCTGACTTGGATAGTGAAAGGTGTAGCAACGGGAGCCCGGGTGATGGATCTGTGGGTTATGCATTAGTGCCTGACCCGGCGCTAGAGACCGTGTCGAGAGTACTTTGTTTCTTTGTCTGCTTTCTGCTAAATTCGAGCTTGGTTACCCTTGTCAACTAAATTTAGAGCATATGTTTAACGTCAAGTCGCTTGATTAGGAAAGACTACGGTTCTATGTGAGACGTCCAACTTGGAGACAAGTAGCAAGTGTCGGCATTCATATTTCGGACTCCGTGTTATGCCTCTTCTCGGTTAGTACAGGCAACCAGTTGAAGAGCATGTTTAATTTGGTGACCACTGCAGATGGGATAGCTCCACGTGAGTGGCCAAAAAAAGTATGGTTAAACGTTGATTTTTAAACAGCCCTACTATAGGTAGCTATACATATCAGATTTTTCTTTGACAGGCGGGAGTTTCCGATTCTGGTTGCCTTCAGCTCAATGCCAAATTTATCTTTTAGTTCGTCCCGCAACAGCCTGGCAATTTCCATACGCGACTAAGGCGCCACCATACCGATCACCGGAATGTGTCCCTCCTGCTGAGCATGCTATGAGAGAGGAATGAAGAAGATAGAAGATGCTGCTTGGATAATTTTTGGAGAAACTGTGTACAAATACCATCAAAGCACCAAGCAAACTGGCAAATAGCAAACAAAGATCTCAGTCTGAGCTGACAAACAAACAGCAGGGATGATATCTCAACACAGCCAGAACCCCCACAGCACAAATAGGCCATTCAGGTCTCCAGCATGGCATAGAGCGTGTTAAGTGGTGTATATTCTCCAATCTCCTTAATCAAAACTGACGGATTTTTTGTTTGTATACCCTTACAGACATCAAACAATAATATCCTTGTCCAACTTCCGAAACATCAACCAAAAACCAGCGGTAATAGCAAGTTGCACACCTGTCAAACTCCCGTAGAAAATAGTCATATTAGGATCTTTTGCAGCCGGCGAGATCGCAATGCCCAATGCATAGCTGATTGAAGCCGTTCCCACAAATAATGCCTGCACGATAGACTTCATGCTCCTCGGGGCTCGCGAATAGCAGAACTCTGACCCAGTTGTCACGCAGAAGATTTCCCCAATCGCCATAAGCACGTAACACGGCACCTGCAAAAATACATTGATATGCTGCGGGATGGTGCCATTTTTCGAATCTGGACAGGCCAGGGGATAGTCAGGACACGGCCCCGCGCGGTAGATAAAGGCCTGAAGGCCAGTCGCCCAGGCCAAAGAGGCACCCATGAGGAAAAAACCGATGGAAATACGAGCAATGGGGCGAAACGGGATTTTGCGGCGATTGAGAAAGGGAAACAGGCATTGTTGGATCACTGGTCCTGCGATGATGCAGGCAATAGGGTTGAAATTAGGCATCACGTCGTTGGGGATCCCGCAAGTTTCCATTTGGCCGGCTTGTGAGATCAAATTATTGTATGTTTGTCCCCAGCAGAGCCATACAATTGGAAATGCGAGACTGGGAAGTGTTAGTTTGCGGAGAATGGGCTGCAAATTAGGAACTCACCAGATTTGACACGCTATGAGGGCGTCGCGGACTCCCTTCAGGAATTCATCATCCCATAAAACCTGGCGACCGTATTTTTCTTGTTGCACCGCCGGCTGCGCGGCGTTAAGTGACATGCCACCTCGAATCCCGAGCCAAATAACTCGCAACACTTTTGGAACAACCGAGCCTGCGGGAGGTGCTTTGTCTGTGGTCTTCCATGAGTACATAAAGTGATTGGAGGTTGTGCTTTCACGTACAGTATTTACTTTTGAATACCAGCATAAGAATCAGTCCCACCCATAGAAAGCAGAAGCAGAGTAAAAAGGCAGACCAAAAGCTCGAATATTTTTCCATAAAGGTGGTGGCTATCCCGGACAAAGAGGCGACATTAATGAACCTGAATTAATATCCATTCTTAGCCTTCCTGCTTCTATACCTGGAATCATGGAGCTATGGTTTTCGGACTCACCAGAAGTACCAATTGTACATGTATTGTATGGTGAGGGATCTGTCCACAACCACCCGTTCTCCGGACGGGAGCTTGCGAATGAATGGCTCATGATGGGGGTATTGATCCGCGATAAAAGGATAAATTGAAGCTTTCACGCCGCCTATGCCAAGCGCGATTAAGACAAGAGACACACCGAGTCCTGCAGCGGACGCGCCTACTTGGTGTATAGCCGAAGGTAGGGCTGTTGTAAAAAGAATGAGAGACCCAACGAGGTAGATGCTGTGGAAGAAGGAATGTCAGCAGGTATCTTGCTAATTTTTTTGCGAATGTCTGCGAAATTTTTACAGAAGCGAGATGTCTGTATACACTCCACGCGAAGTAACACATCATTTCCACCTACACTGTACTTAGCAAAATCAGCTTATATCGCCCTAGCCAACCATCGGCCACCACCGCCAGCGGCACCGGTGCAAAGTTAACCAACACCATGAAGGCATAGTTCACTGCAGTGGCATCCGACTGCCCCATCCCGAGAACTCCAGGAATGAGGTCATTTGGGCTGTTCTGCAAGTAGTTTTGCAGGCAGGTCGAGGCACCATAGAAGACGAATCTCTCGGCTGATCCGACGAGAATGACCAGCCAAACTGGGTAGGGAACGTTGTCGGCGACATGAACAAGCTCTTTTAATTCTTGGTCTGTGGGCCGACGTGATGTTTCATCTGTTATATTTATTTGAACAATATCTTCCTGCGTTTCTGTCGTCAACGATGATGAGTTTTTCACTTGGTTGTCATTGAGCTGGGAAGCCATGTTCAGCTCTCACGCAGAAATGTGGGATGGGAAGGATATAATCTTTCAGTTAAACACCCAAAATCCCATGATAGCGTTCCTTAGAGGGTTTAGTGGGAAAAGGCGTGATAAGCAAATACGTATTATTAAACAGGTCCGCCCCCGGCCCCGGGGGGCCGCCCCATTGGGGTGACTCAGAGCCATCATTGTGGATTTAAATCGATAACTCAACATGGATATTTAGGGACCTTCTCTTGTGGCCTGAAACACGTTATTTGAAGGGATTATTACGAAAGAGAAAATGCGAGTTCCCATATCTCGGCATCCAGACCAGTTTCCTAGGTAGCTAGTTAACTTTTCATCACATCCATGGATACTAAAACTGATCAAATGTCTGTAATATAAGATCTGATGATCTATGCTGTGGCCATAGGGCTTATTTGGTTTCAGATAGACTGACTACCCAAGAGGCAATGTTTTCGTAAATTAAGAGATACTGTAGGGGCCGGTCTTAGAAGTAGAATCTGACCATTCAGATCTACCACTTATAGACCAAGACTTTTTACAGATCGGCGGGACGGAATTACCCGGAGCCAAGACCTGTCATATTGCTTCTTCCGATACCCAATTCTCTAGGGACATGAACAGTCGAATCAAAAATTTGATAGAATACATATCTAGTGAGAATATCCTAAAAATTATTCGCGGCAAATCTTATGGAAACACTTCTTTTAGCGCTACTCACTCTTTGCTCTCATGGAGATAGCCTCAGATAAGCACACTCGCCGCCATCCAAAAGAACCACGCTGCGAATGAGATTTTGTGGCATAGGAGATTGGTTTTTACCAAGCTCTAGATTGCCACCAGGGAATTCTTGCTTCGGGATCTCGAAGCCAGGAACCGTCAAAAGGAAATCCGCTAGGTGTAGGTACGAGATGTTTAAGAAACATCAACATAAGCTCTAGATCACGTGTGTTATTAGTTTGCGAGTCCCCAGATCGACAGAAAAATCCTTAACCTTAATACCTGATTTGTTAGGCTTTGCGTGTTTGGACAGCACTCTATGATATGATCGCCGAAATATGAAGCGGGAAGGACCGGGAGGCCCGGGACCCACTTTAAAGTGGAATGCCTGCGGAGTTGGCTCCACCTAATATGGAATATCAGCACAGTGTAGTGAGTGATAGAGAGGGGGAAGGAAGAAATAAGAGACTGGGGGCGAGATCTTAGCAATAGAGGAGCTTACAGAACGATAGGGGCGCTAGACCAAAAACGGCAAAACTAACCGCATTGCGTAATTCACCCTGGACACCTGCAGGTCAGGGAATTATAAAATACAGATCTATCCTTCTTCATCTCTCTTCCTCTCTGTATTATCAACACCTATAATACTTGAGACGTACTTACCAAGATATAAATAGAATGTTCAATAGGCTATGCATTTTCTATAGCATTATATTGTGACTTGTGGACGCAGAGTCTATTGTGCTGCTTCAGAAGCTAGCTGTCTATGATTGGCCTCGTTGACTTGTGGTCAAATACCAAGGTCATTCCAGTCAACATAAACCTCGTTGGCTTTACCTTACACACCGGGGTCCTTCATCGCACCGATTCTGAATGGTACTTCGATGTTGAGGATTCGATTTCTGAATCAACTTGGTACATAGCCTCCACCTCTATCAATTCTGTTTAGATGCTGAAAATACATCCTAGGCGTAAAATTGGATATTATAGAGTTATGGTTCGAACGTGTCGATCTGTCATACAATTGCGAGGATGATAATGATTCCGTTGAGTCAAGCTCAGATAAAGCCGAAAGTGAGGATTTCTACAATGTTGGATATTGAGAGGGGTATTATACATGGAAGGGAGAACTAGGGGTTCTATAGATACCACGAGATCGGGTATCATCTTGAGGAACATCTTCAGTAGTCAGCTCTAGTCAGTAACCGTTTTACCGTTGCCCTTATTCTCATATAATAATACCTCTACCAGATCTTTGTGCTACAGCTACTAGCTGGAGAGAGGAAGAAGAAGAAGAAGAAGAAGAAGAAGAAGAAGAAGAAAGAAATATTTACTGTTCGATCTATAAAAAAGGATATTTACACTCTAAGATGTTGCACACAGTCGCTCAGGCTGTAAGCAAGCAATGGAAGATTGGATCATCCAACAGTTTCACCTTTGACTTCTGCATAAGGCGATCACTCAAAATCCAACACAGCAGCAAGGTTGCTAGCCACTAGATCAAGGAATGTGGAGGATGCTCCCACTGCGGCACGGAGCAAGACTTCGCTCTCACCACGAGCTGCGAGGTCGCGCAGCCAACTATCCACGCTGGCAACGGCTTTATCAATATTGGAGCGCCATTCCTCATAAGTCTCACACTCCGTGATTGAGGACACAGCGTTGATAGTATCAATTATGGGGGAATTGTAAATGGGTTGTGGAGAGTGATTGCACCGATGGAGCGGTGGTGGCTGGGACCCTTCAAGCCCACCATCGTACCAAAAGCTGGGGGTACAGACGGGCAAGTCAAAGCTGGACTTGTGGCCCCGCGCGCGGATGAGCCGTGGGCGGAGGTACTTCCAATACCCAGGTCCATGGCGTTGGGATGTGTATGCATATAAACCGCTTCCCATTGTGCTTAATCCCATGGCACTAGGAGAGCAGTGGAGATACCAGCGGGCCGCTGCAAGATAGCGAGCAGCCCAAGCTTTGCCCAGGTCACAATCGAAAAATATCACAGCTCCCCTTTGATCACCGGTCATACCATCATATCCCAGGTTTGGAATCTGGGCCACTGTCTGCATGACGACAGCAGTGTCAATTAAAAGGGTGCCGTCGTAAGCCACGAAAGAGACACCCGCTCGGAGTGCCATCATTGCATAGAATTCAACAAAGCTAGCCTGATGCCCAGTCGGTTGGAGATTACCAGCACCGCGGGTCACGAAAGTCCACAAAGTTGCGAGAATATCTGTCTCTGTCGTGGCATCGAACAACGATTGAGCCGAGCCGAGCCAAGGGGTATTCTTGATGGGCGGTGCCCTAGCACCGGGAATTCTGTCATTAAGCCATGAACACCAATTGTCCACAACTGGTTCGATCGAAGAACGACTGGCATAAAAATACCAGAGACCTCCGAACATGAAGGTAGCAAACACATATTCAGGACTAGTAGCGATAGTCGATTTAGGAATTGTTGGACGGTCCGTGCCGATGCGTACCACGTTGTTGCCCTTGGCATTCTTGGCATTCTTGGCGCCTATGACAGCCTTGCTCAAGTTAAAAGCTGACAGCATGCAGCTTGAAGCTATCTGGTACAACTCTCGCGGCCCCGGGGGAACTGCCTGCATCATATCTTCCCCATTGGACTGTGACACAGTGGGTACCGCCGGGGCTTGAGGTATGTCATATGTGCTTGAAGCCGGCGACAACTCGTGTTGTGGACGCGCCTGCCGCGTGGCACTGGCTGATTCAACTGCTGAAACCATCCGGTCTACATAAGTGGTGAGAAGGGGTATAAGCCCCTCGGTAGCAATGCGGGGGGGAAATCCTGGATGGCGGGATAGGAACTCCAGCCCAAGCGGATCACTGCTGCCGGGCGGTGATGGAGCAAAAGTCCCATGGCTAGGAACCTCAACGCCCGCAAAATGTGAAAAAAACTCCACCAAGCTGCGGGCAAACATTGCATCTTCTCTGTTATCACACGAATGGCCCATCGCTCCAATTTTTGACGTTGATCCAGAGTCAGAGTTTAGCATTTCGGAAATATTACTGCTGATAGGGGGTAGTTCACTACCACCAATGTGATAATGATGGAGTGGGGAGTGGACGTAAAATTGTGTAAAGGGAAGGGTGTCAAGCCTTAAGTACTTCGGTACTTCTAATAGTTTCCAAGACAAGCTATCATATGATATTGCCCTGCAATTAACGATGAAACAATCTAAGGATTAGCGGGTGCCATAGGAGGCATTTGGGAACGAGTGAAGATGACGAATTCGGACCCCCTGTCAGTGCTAGTTTGTACTAGCCACTAGCGGGAAGCATGCCAAGCGAATCTCACACACGTGGCCAATTTGGGGAAGTGCTAAATGGGAGAAGCTTGGACCGTTGGTGATCAGTCAGCAGGAAGATAGAAGCCCTGGAGTTGTGTATGAAAGGAACTATCTTCTGGAAACCAGTCTACCTATATAGTTACTTAACTAGGGTTGTGGCCTGACAAGATTCTAGGCATCCATGAACATGTTCCCAGTTATCTGGGCCCCTACATGCCAATATGCCACTGCAGATCATTAGCTGTTCGTCTAGGGGCTTGGCTTCGGTACAAAGTCATAAAGATACATTTTGGCGCTTTGGAGGTTGACACTGGTGGGGGGCGGGGGTGGGAGGGGGCGGCTCGCAAGCGTAGTTCCTAGCCGAGTTTAGGATCTACGTCACACTGCGACAATCGGATGTTTGTTGAGAGAGCCGATGAAAGCTTCGTAGATGTAGATGATTGGTGTAAAGTAGATACATGAATGGTGTCCTATTTCGGGCTTTGCCAAGTTGTCTGTTTGTGATCCGGGTAGGGACCTGAGACTGCTCTGAAGTAGACCGACATTAACACCAAGCAGCAAACAGACCGCGGCAATACCGAGACAAAGCGTGAATAATTAATCACAAAGAGTCAGATAGAAAGATTGAAAGAATGTTTTGAACATATTCACTTGAAAATATATGAAAGATAACAGCCCATAAACCCGAAAACCGAAATACCGAGAGAGAATGCCAAAAAGAAGAAAAAAAGCGAGATAACAGATAACCACCGCGCTAAAAACATGATTCAGGCAAAGAGCAAAACGATGGCCAGTCGACGACCTGGTCGAGTATGTCTAGCCATGGGCTCAAAGCAAAACAACCGCAGAGCTTTTATAGATGCAGGCAGTATGAGACAAAATATGTACAGACAAAGGACCGACAATGTCTTTTGCACATGATTGTAATGAGCATTTGGCCATCAAGGCACAATATGTCAATGCAACAAAGAATTGAAGTGATCACCAAGTTTCCTTTGAAAAACGTCAGTATAATCCCCCGAAACATCAAGACAGATCAGAACTTACAGCAATATACTGCCCAGCCTCCTTCTTCCGCTGCCAGAACATATCGGCCTCTTGAGCATTGAGGTTACCCTTGGCCATAGCAACCTCAATAAGAGCAGCCTCAACACCCTCACCCATACCCTTACCCGAACCACAAACAAAGACACGGCCATCTAGTGAGTTGATAACAAACCAAACAAGATCAGCCTGATGTCTAACCTCCTCTTGCACATAGCGACTCTCGCCCCTACGGCTCTGCACAACAGTGCGTACTTTATCCTCGTGCACGCCCCATTCGCCGGAGTAAAGCTCATCAAGCAGCGAGTCACGCACGCCCTGCAAAACCCAAACCTTATTCGCGCAGTTCGCCGACTGCAGACGGCGCTGCACAAAACCGCGGAAAGGCGCGATTCCAACTCCCGCGCCGATCAGCAGCATTGGGCCATCTGAGGCAAAGCGCGTCGCAAGCGGGTTCGCCATCAGTCCTCGGAACATGGGTATGTGAAGATCGACTTTCTCGCCCGTGGCTTCGGCGGCAATCGCTCGCCGCGCAAGGGACTCCAGGAATCCGGATCCTACACCCGTGCGGGTTCCGCCGCGCCAGTCATCGGATTCGGCGACTGTAACGGCAACTTCGACTAGGCGCCGGCATTCGCTGCCTTTGTATTGGCAGGAGATCTGAGGGTCTTGGGAGAGAGAGTAGAAACGGGGCATGAGGGTGTTGAGAACGGAGAGGAGGTGGTCGAGGGGTGGTTGGGAGCTTGGGAAAGCAGTTAGGAGTTGGGTGAGGGAGACGTAGGAGCTTGTGCGAATGTCGCAGAAAGCGCCTTGGCCTTGGGCTGAGGAGAGGTATTCGAGAATTTTCTTCTCGTTTGGCTCGCTGGTGTACTCAGCGAGGAGGCGGAAGAGTGGCTTTGTTGGGGCGTAACTTTGGATATCGGAGCACCAACTTAGGACTTCGCGTCGGGTAGTGATGAGTTCGCGGGGTTTGTCGTCACCCCAGATTGTTGGCCAGCGGCCTTTGGTTGTGCGCATGAGGACTTTCTTGTCACGCATTGACTTTGGTACACCAAGGAGGTTGAGGACCTCTTCGACTTCGGAGTCCTTGTTCTTGGGGCACACGCCAATTGCACCGCCGACTACGAAGTCGACCATCCCGCTTTCGGCGGGATAGTCCGTGACATCGATATCAAAGTGATATGTGCGCTTCTCGGCGCCAGGCCCTGTCAACTCACGGGCGTGGAATAGTGGCGCACGGTAGACCTGGTAAGGTGGGTGCGGCTGCACGAATTCCGGCGGGTGATCTGCGGGACCAAAGGTCATTTTGACCGCCGATGGGGGGATCGGCTTGAAAGAAACGGTCTTCTCTGGGAGCGGGACAATGTTGGAAAGCTTGCTGTCCATGGTGAGAAGATCGAGGTTCAGCTTGAGACTGTCAAAAGCCTTGTTACCGATAGGCCCAACAATAGAATTGAAGCCTGAAATTGGTCCATCTACAGGACGCAATGCCTGCCCTCGGCAACAACCCCCACCACAGCAGAGGGATTGAAGCTTCTGAGTGCCTGCTGTGCCCACATTTTCCAATACCCTTCGCATATCGTCCGCATTTTGTGATATGAGAACAGTTGATGCTCGTCGTCTTTGCCGACCACCATGGGGCTTTTCCTCTGCATTCTCTTCCTCCGACTGGGATTCGGTGGGTGGTGTTAGAGGGGTATCGGGGGAATTTGAGCCACTCGATACAGTGCCCTGGGAGGAGTCTGAGGAGATAACATTGAAAGTGGTGTCGGTTACTGAGAGCGAACGCACACCTCGAGGCTCTTCTGGAATTGGGTTATCTGGGTGGGAGGTCGAGGACACTGGGATTTCTTGATAAGTGCCTCGGCGGGGGCGAGACCCCGTTGAAGCATAAGTCGCCGATGGCATGATGGATTGAACGGCGTGAACTAAGTTAATAGATCAGAATGTGAGTCTCAACCACTGAATTGGGATTGACTGTTCTCTGCATACCCATGAGGAAGTTTGAAGAGCTGTTGGGAGTCACCGAAAAGTTGCACAAAAGTCGGCGCAACAAGTGAAGACCGGGGTATATGAGTCGAGACGTAATGAGAAGGAAATTAGAACGCCCCCCCTTTTTTTTTTCTTTCTATGAATAGAGCATGGAAACAGAAGAGAAGGGTGGGATGAGGGAGGAGAGCGTGGACCCGAAGAATGATCGGGAGGATAGTTCCGTACAGAAAATCGGTAAAAGTGAAAATGACGGTAAGTGAGAAATACAGGGTCTCACAAGCGTTGATCGGAAACAGAGAACAGGGATTTATCAGATTCGCCACATTCTTCGTCGGGTATGTTACGCGGTTGGTTCCGGTGATAATTTACAGCTTAATATATAGGATCTTGACTAAAGTTAATCTTTATTGTCAGCAAAAATAAGGACTCGACTACTGGATATGGCATAACTCCATTTTGAGCTATCGTATCCATTCAGATCGACAGTGCATATGAAGATGAACTTGTACTTTACACGTATTAAGTGGCGTTGGGGACAGCCGAGGAGAAGTCCCGGTCGGCTGTTAACTGACCCGAAATGACTATGGTAAGATGTCAGATGATTGCAATTTAGACTATTGACCTATATAGCCTATTACCGTAAGTCGTACAGGGGTTTCTACAGGGATAAAGTAACTGCAATTGGAAAAGAAATTGTATCTTCCGAGGTGGGCCGATAGAAAATGTTCAGAAATGTAATGTACGTAACATTACAATACCATACTGATTGATACCTCGGTTATCAGATCAATCAGATAGGCGGATTTGTCCGCTTCGGAGGGTTTTATGTCATCTGATCTGATAACCTTACATACTTTCTTGGAAGATTGGGCGTACCCGTAGACATCTTCATTTTTATTTTGTAATGCATACTACTATCTCATATCGGAAGTCCTGGAGATCCTGGGTACTTATGTCGAATTCCCTCGCAAAATGGATCTTTATAGACTCCCCACTTTCCGACCAGCCGGACCTAACCTTGTGTATCCTGGCCCATCACAGCTCTTCTAGCTTACATGCCCCTAACGCTCGGTAAATCAATTTCCCAACAATTCGGTTCAAGGTGGGGATTCCAGACCGAAATCAATCAGTGGGTCGAAGGACGTTCTAGAAAAACAGTAAACAAAACAGACCCCTGAAGCTTTCGGCCCAGGAGAATTCACCAGTGACCAATGGCTGGTCATTGTATCAATAATAACACATACTCTGAAACCACCGATATTACGAGCTAGCCCCACAAGTGGCTCATTTCTGGGACTTTTCACTAAGCCTCTATTCTATGTACTAATGTCACTGTATTTGAGTTATTGCTTTGGCCCATTCAGTGTTCTTTCTTCATTGCTACACTGGATAAGACAGCTGGCGTTTTCATACAGCTTCGTGGCTCTGGAGCTTATAAAGCGGTTGTATTTCAGGGGAAGAGGCTTGGAAGAACTAACAGACTCCATCTGATAACTTAATTTAAACGCCGATGGCCGGCAGAATGATCAAGCCCGTGCCCTTCAAAGTCTCCGAGACATCTAAATTGAGTAACTATTATCGCAAAAAGGGGTTGGGTGCCGCCTCATTATTAGGATGTGTGGAGTAACTGGCCTTCAAATATGACGAACAAGATAATGATACGGAAGGCACGGAGTAATAAATAACAGCATAATCTCAATATCGTACCTTATATGGAGAATCTAAATACATAATCGCTCTAGGAGCCAAAAATAGAAAAATAAATAATGACAGTGAAAAAAAAAAAAAACACAAGCGCTCCTACCAAACCAAACCGACCTTAATTAGTTTCATCCCTCCGAACCAAAGCTACAGGCGGGATGAAATGATGTCTCCCCCGGACCACGTAATAGATCGACGCGGATCCAACAATGGCAACATACATCGCCACGCTCCAGTTCATCGTTGCAACGGTAACATCTGTCGTCAGGGGAAAGAACGCAAAGACAAAAATTGGAGCGAGAAATGCCAACGCTCCCAAATTCACCGCCATGCCATATTTCCCAAGTGACCAGCGGTGGCGTGGAAGCGGCTCGCCTCGAAGGCGTTTCAGAAATACGCACCCGATCGAGATGATATACGCGGACAACAGGGATGTGATGGTGAGGGAGATGACCGCATTCAGTGCGACCTGCGACCCGATGTTGATCATGGATAGTAGCACTGTGATGACGAGAGACACCATCACGGAGTTGAGGGGGATGTTCCAGCCTGGTGTCACCTGGTGGTTACGTGTTAATACAACTGGATCTACACCTCTTGTTTCTGGTGCCACAGGGCTATATCAGGACAGGACGTGGCTTACATATGCGAAGAAGGATGAACAGGGCAGCCCCTCGTCTCGGGCAAACGACCAGAGCTGGCGCGATGCTGTTGCCACTTCGGTGATTGTGCTGGCGGTTAGTGTCACAACCAGCACAGCCGTCATGGCGTTTGTCGCAGCGATGCTACCCGTAGTATTGTAAAATATTTGGATAAACGGGAATCCGGTCGGGGTATTAAGGACACTGTCAATATCGCCTAGGGTGAAGCACAGCGTGACCAGCATGATAAACCCCAGCACGCCGTTAACGGCGACAGAAGACATCATTGCCTTTGGGAGTGTTTCTGAAGCGTCTTTGATTTCTTCGGCTTTTGAAAGTCAGTGTGGTGTACCAGGTCTGAGGCGATTTATAGAGTTCTTACACATATGAACGGAGCAATCATAACCAAGCATGGATGTTATGGTAGTAGACAAGCCGACCAATGTTGCTGTTCCCGAGTTATCCCAGCCGCCCCCGTTGTTGAACGTCGTGAAGACTGCGTGGGCATTGTTTCGTGGTGCGAGTACCCACAACGGGATGATGATAGCGAACAGGCCAACAACATGGATAATCAAGATCAATCCTTCCACGAAGGGAAGATTTTTGGCTAGGAAGGTATTGAATAAAATTGAGAATGTCGAGATAGCAATTACGAGCATTGTGCCATGCCATCTCTGAAAGTCATACTCTGGCTGGTTCAAGACGATCAAGCCTTGAATGATTGTGCCAGCAAGGTAGGCAATGGACACAATAGCGCATTGCCACCCCATTGCAGAAAGCCACCCTGCAATATTATATTAGCTAACTAGATTTGCATATAGGCGAGTTGTATTACCTGTGATATAGCTGAGGTACTTTTGTCCTCTCTTTGGTGCGAACTCCGACACCCAATGATACTGACCACCAGCAGTGGGGGCCCTATTCGATTGATTAGCGGCGATACAGCCAGTGGCAACAAGCTATCAGTCACATACATCGAGGCCATCTCCGCAATACTGGCATAGACAAGGGTGAATCCGATTGAAACGCCGATGAAGCCCCATATCAAGCCTGCTGTCCCGCCGTCGGCCAAGCCCGCTGCTAGCAATCTATTAATGGAGTCAGTGGTCTGCATGATTAATGTATGTAGGAACTAGCACGTACGTCAAGATAACTTCCCATGTGCAAATCAAAGTGCACCCAAATCCAACAATGGAGATAAACCGGAAGTTTCTCTTCGTGATATTAGCAAGGCTAATACAACCGGAACGAATGAAGAGCAACTTACTCGCAGAACCTGCACGCGACCAAGAGCATTCATATCGCGCCGATCTGCCAGCGTGCCCATATAACGGGCCTCAACAAGGCCCTTCTGCGCATACTCCTCGTCGTCCTCGTGGCCAGTCATCGTCTGCTGCGAGTCAGGTCTAGACTCACTAGAGACCGCCATGATCACGCTCGTGACTGAACGACTAAATAGAAACTTGAAGATGGATCAAATATCTCTGCAAGGAAATAGGGTGTAGTGAGAAGAAGAGTAAATGCCTAGATTGCCTGGCGACTTAATACTCCGAAGAATCTAAGACGTGAAGTATAAAAGCGCCCGGAAACACCCTCTAATAAAGCCAACCAAAAAAGGCTGTAACCAGAAGAAGTAGGTATCGGGAGAAAACCCAAAGAACTGGAATCATGACGGGCCAATGGATTGCAGGGATCGAAGCGTGGTCTTGACGTGGGAGCAAGGCATGGCTTGAGAAAAATTCTCGGGCGCCATGTGGGAGGGAACATCCCCTTGGAACACCCAAGTACTAGCGATGCAAATGATACGTCGTTGTTTGATTGAGGATGCGGCAAATCAAATTCGGAATGAGACTGTTGGGTCTTATTTTTGGAGTTTGTTATCCCTTGTATCTTTCGGAATGGGATCCTAATCCTTGCATGCCAAGTAGGGGGTTGTCGATTTAACGCCTCAAACATGGGAGATATTTAAATCTGGGCTGACTATCGGGGTTGTAATGCTACTTTAAATACTCTCTAGTTCTATTCTATTATAGTATAGAACATGACCTATGAATTGTTTCTCTCATTTAAGAGTGTAGCCAGGAAAATGATAGACACAAAGAAATACCAAACAGAATCCTTTGAACAGACCACTACCCGATACATTTCTGATGCATCACTCATGATAATCCTTAATCCTGGTCGCTCATCCCTTTGATGCACAACCTCCAGACAATTCCGCCACTGTCCATGCCTCGAAATGGCGGGTGAATGCTTATGCCCCTCGCTTTAATTGTTCAAAGCAAACCAGCTGGCCTATCGGATGAATACCTGCCAAAGACCCACAGCCTACCTCTGAAGGGTGCATGTTGATCGATGACCCTACAGCGGGCCGTGCCCTAAACCAGCGTGCCCATAATATGGAGTACTACCTCATAGTTCGACATTTGTAGTGAGGGAGAGAAGTCAAAATACCATTCCAACCCCGATGAATTAAACATACACCAAAAATGACAATAATTGGCACCATGTATAACCTCCAACGGAAGAAAGGGATAAACCGGCCATGCGCATTCAAATGTCCAGCATGAGCCTATATCGAGTGATTCCCACTGACGTACATGTCTGGACTCGATAGTCCATATTTCTATCGGGTATCAGCATATGACTTCTCAAGGCAGAAACAATCACAATCACACGCGCACAGGAGAAACTGAACCTAGCTCAACTGTTATCGCCTCGTCTTGACGCATACCTTTTCTATAACGTACCCGAGCGTCTCAAATCAAACCCTTTCTTCAATCTATTCCCGCCCTGCCATCTCGCCCACATGGCTCCTAGATCTGACAGCCTTTCACAGTCGTTCCTATGTCTGTGTTGATAAGCCATTAAACATAACATCACAGTGTATGCATCTACGCGATATAAATGATAACCCCGAGAAGGGTACTTGTCTCGAACTCGCCGTTAGCAGTGGACCCTGCTCTCCTCCACTATCATGGGCCCGTATGTGCCACCAGGCCAGGCGCCACCCTTCGAGGTCATCGATAACTTGCACCATGGTGGGTGGTTGATAATTACTGCTGCTATGGGGCTGGTTGTGTCCCTGGCGTGTTTCTTAATCCGCTTGTATGTGCGGCTCATGCTTATCCCACCGTTTGCGCGCGATGATTGGGTTTTAATGGGTGCTACGGTGAGTCAAAGCTCTCATAGTGGACTCGAGTGAGGTCTGGGTTGGATGGGTTTTAGTTGAGCACGCTGCTGACATCTTACTTGAATTTCTGCACAGGCTATCGCCGTGGTGCAATCAAGTCTCGTCTTTTATGCATGCTCGCGCGGATTCGGGACTTCTATATCGTTAGTGAAGGATGATCGACTCGATCAGATCCAGGCTGTAAGTTTGAGATTCTATCACTTTATATCATTGAACCGAAGCTGATCAACTACCTAAGTTAATTGCAGCAAGCGATATCATCGCGCTGATAATCATCTACCTCTCCAAATGTTGCGTCGTGGCTATCTACCTCCGCCTCACGCCACAGAAACCACATAACCGCGCATCCTGGGCGACACTTGCCCTGTGCACTGCCTGGGTCATCCCCGCTATATTAATTGTCCTTGTCAATTGTGAATTAAACACACCTTGGCGGAATGATAGCGGCCAATGCCGTAACTTGGTATGTAAAACCACGAATGGTGAACCATGCATCAACTCCTGGAGGCAGTCTCTCATCTCGCAAAAAATAGTACATACGATGGCAATTCATCGCAGCAGTCGACGTTATAACCGAGCTCCTCCTCTTCATCCTAGCCGTGATCCTCTTAAAAGGCCTCTTCATGTCCGTTCGCCGCAAACTAGCTGTCGGATTCGCATTTATATTTCGCTTTCCGTGAGTAATACCCACGTCCCCATTCTGAAACCAAAGACTAACCACCTAGCCCAGGCTCATAATATTCTCATTAATCCACATCTCAACCCTCCACACCGCTCTAAACAACGAAGACACAACCCTCGCCGCCGTGGAACCAACAATCTGGATGCAAGTCGAGCTTCACTACGCCCTAGTCGCATGCAGCGTATTCTGTCTCCGACCATTCATGGCAGCCGTTAGTACAAACTACGGCACGGCGGGTGACTCGACGATGGAAGGTAGCACATCAAGATCAAACGGTACGAAAGAAGGCTCGAAGACCGCGTCTGGTTCTGGGTCTGGGTCTGGGTCGGGTACGAGGTCGAGACCTAATACAGCTTCAAGGTCACATTCTCGCATTCAGAGAAAAATAGCAGGTACCGGATCATGGCCACCGCTTCCCCCGACCACTAGTGGTTCTGGTTCTGGGTCGCGACAGTCAGAGAATCAGGGTCCGGGCCAGTTTCCTTCGTTGTGTCCTGATATCACTCCCCATGCACACGGAGCGCTTGGAAACAAACAAAGGGATGAGGACACTCGCAAGTCCCCTACTGTGCTTGAACCAATGCGTAGGTCTATGTTCCCGCTCAGCCCGCCGCACCAGACTCAGAGCATCCAGAAGATGGAAAAGGGGAAGAATAGTGTCAGGGCTGGGTCTGTGCGGTCGCTTTCGATGGCGTCGGATTTGATTGAGCTTATGCCGAGGTCGCATACTCGACATGCGAGTATTGCGACTGAGCGAGGGGATGGGGGGGATAAGATGGTTATTCATAAGGAGGTTCGGTACTCCATTCAATATGAGGATGAGGCGGAGCTGAGGAGGCGAGAGGACGAGGATTTGAAGAAGAATTTTGTTGATGTTTCTGCCTATGTATAATTATAATATTTTCGTTCATGGTTTCTTGTAGGATGCATGGTTCTGGGTTATGCATAGCTAAATCGGTGATTGGCACATTCTGCTATTGTGCCTGTAGAGGAAGGAGATGCTGTGTATGATATAAAAAGCCGTATTATAATGCCTGTAACGCCGGTCCTGTCGGATCAAATCTAAAATTGCTCATGATAAAAGCTGTACATAGAATCTCAATCTTACGACGCTTCAGCTCTTTGGCCGCTTGAAAGGATGGGCTTCGGTGCTCCTGAGAAAACATGCTCATTAGTTCATGACAGGATAAATATAGCTGGGCGCAAACTTACAGCACGTAGTCATCCAGACTAATATGATCTGGCTCAGAAAAGATGAGGTAGAGGTACTTCAAAGTCTCGGCAAGCCAAAAGCTCTCCATTTTGTCCTCATGTTTCGGTTCCGAATGACGCACATCGCTGATAGATGAATGGCCAAAGTTAGTCCGAGTCGCCTTCTCAATGTTCTTAAACATGCGCCATGCGGAGTCCTGAAGAGTCTTATCTCCAGTAATCCGGTACATGACGAACAGGGACTCCAGAGCTTCGGGTCTGAACGAATAGTATGTTAGTGAGCTGCGCCACGAGGAATGAGATAAATCCGTACCTGAGCTTGTACGATGCGTCTCGAACACTAGTCACACCTGGCGGTAGATGCTCAGCATGGATGCGGCCTTCAGCTTTCTCGCGGTCCTCCTTGGTATCAATAGTCTGTGATATGACATCCGACATCCACTGCTCTTCATCCCACGGACAGTTATCAATGTGCTTGCAATGGCTAACTGTGAACACCTCCGGCATAATACCTGTAGGCATGGCATCATATGCCCAGACACAGCCGTCGGTAAGTCCCCGGGCAAGATACATATCTTCTGGCCGATTGAAGATCTTGGCCCCAATAGCCACGGTGCCACCCATGAAACACTTAAGGTGATCAGGCTCGTACCGGGAGGATTTTGAGTCACCCCGCAATGCAATGACGTTAGATGCGAAAAGAATGTGCTGATCCTCGTCCTTAGTCATTCCTCTGAACAGGAGATTATCGCTGAATGCTTTAATCGCCTTTTCATACATCTTGTGATATTTGCCCTTCTGTGCGCCCAAAAGAATGTGTTCTTTGGGCAAATACTCGTACGCCGAATCGGCACATCCACCGATAGTGAACTCGGAGTCGTCGAATGTCATTAGGTTGGTATTAATCCATGTCGGCCACAGGCCAGGGATCCGGGTCTGGTCTTGTCCAATCTCGAGCTCGTTCATGATTCGCTGCACAGCGTCGTAGTACTTGGGATTACCGGTCAATTGGGTCAGGCGAGTGAACTCCATTGTCAAGGAGCCCATTTCCGCTAAGCTTGTGCGCGAAGATGGTCTGATTTCTGCGCCTTGGGCGGATCTGGGTTTGATCAGTCTCGAGTTCTCATTGCATATTTGTGTATATCTTGACATACCTAGTCCACTCCCAGCGCAATTGAGGCATGCGATTATGCGTATCAAATGCATTGAATATCATCTCGCCCAGTTCGACAGCCTTTCTCAGCAGAATAGGATGTTTGCCCCCAGTCAGGTCATGAGCTGCAATAAGACCACCCATATAGCGAATTATGATCTCAAACACAGGCACCTGCTTGCTTCTGGTTGTTGTGAAGTCGATTTCCTCTAGAGCCTCCAGGGCCAGCTGCAGCTCATCATCCAGTCCCATAATCACAAGCGCATCTAGAGAATCAACAAGTGTGGCGCCCCAACCATTGAATGTATCCTGGTACCCTCCAGTGCTGGGTTTCACCTCGTCTCGCATCCACGCATAATCTTTATATCCATTCCATGAATGAAGAAACGCCTCCTTTACAGCATCGCGCTTCTTGAGTCTGGCCTTGCGCTCGCTGCGGGTTTCCCGAGGGAAGTTATGCTGGATGCGGGGGATATTTGCTGAAACTTTTGGTAGTGGGATGTACTCTGCAACGGGGAATCTCTCGGTGACTTTGCCTAGACGAATGGCATCGTGCCGAATGGTGTCTTTTCTAGAGATTGGCCTTGTTAAAGGAGCTCGGTATGTTTTTGTACTAGGTAGCCAGAAGAAAAAAAAGTATGTCGCGAGAATTAGAAAAAATGCTGTCAATAGAGGTCGGTTCTTGCGCTTGTTGTACATAATGAATGGAGGATGCAAGATAATTAAAGTAACAAAGGAACGGCCATAGGAAACCTAGAGAGGGAGTGGAATGATGTACAAGTCAAGTGAAGGAACCGAAAGGTCAACATGTCTCAGAGAAGATCCCTGAGAGTTGGAGTAAGCCAGAGGAAATGGTCACATTTTTACACAACGCGGCACGTCATGGATTGTGAGAGGTCCCTGAGAAGGGGAATCAGACGCGGCCGAGTTCTCCATTGATCGTCATTGGCCTTTGAAGGTTTAGTGGCAGGATTATGCAGGTCAAACAATGATTTGATGATTAGTGCAGTTTGAGAATGCCACCCCTTTCACAGGCCACGTAATAAGGGAAGCAGGGTCCTGTGTATTATTATTAGAATATCAAAGTCTAGACTTGTAATTAAAGTGCCAAGAGGATTTCTGTCTCTCAGGGCTGTGCTTAGTCCCGAGGGCGGCACCAACCCCACAGCGGCCCCTTGACTCTCTCATGGAGAGTTGATCTTGTCGATTTTCAGGGTTCTTGGAAGATCAGCCAAGACGGAGCAGAATAACACGTTGTAAGCTGAAAAAACTGCTCGTATTAATATCGATATCGTCCGCACTAGGCTGTCTCTTTTGGGACTGTATTTGGAGTCAAAGGAATTGGTATCGAGAAGCTGAGAACCTCATAAGGCTGAACGTTTGAGCCTTATCAATTCTTTCAAGAGCTGAAAAGGGGGGGAAAAATACAAAAGTCAACATAGAATTTGAAGTCACCTAATACTACTCCGTACCCTGATTGCAGTTAAAAACAACGCTGAAAATGGGTTTAGATGTTTGCTCTGTTTGCATCCATAGCTTTCATCTGGAGAATCATCATAATCCCCAGAACAACATCATATAGAAATATTGAATTGTCCAAAGGTACCACAATTCACTCCCTGTCAGTGCTTATACTAATCCAATATATAGATTACAAATCTTCCAGCCTGTTTAAGAGTCTATTGTCATTCCCCTGGCACTAGACTTGAGCATCATTTTTATTTATCGTCCTCTATATCTATATTGCATGGTCCCTACCTGCCACAGATTCCCTAGATAAATCCTCAGCAAGTCTGAAGACTTCCTAGGAACTCATCACCGCAATCCTCTCAACTCATTGATTCCTCAGTTGATACCTCACAGCTCGACACTGCTGTGACCATCCAATCTCTTCTGCGTCTGCCGCAATATAAGAAAAAACAAATCTAAAAAATGCCTATCACAGGGTAAATTCCCTCCTCCAGTCCAATGAAGGCCCCCGAAGCTAACCCCGCAAAGCGTGTACTTCATCCCTTCAAATCCAAACGCTGCAACAGCCCTCCAATTAGTAACAGAGCGCCTCCGCGCCGCCTTCCCAAATGAAGAACTAACTCCAATCGGCCGCTGGGGTTTGGAACAAAAACTGCTCCGCGACACCCCAGGCCTACTTCCCTCCTCAAACTCAAACAAGAAACCCCCAAACCCTCGCTACATGCAATTCCTCTCATTAACCCACTACCCAACCCATGGCTTCATCTACACCTCGGAGCCCGAGAAACCAGTCCCAGCACCAAACCAAACTCAAAACCAAAACGCAGCAGGCACACCTGGCCCTGTAAATGCCATCGCGCCTGACCACTCTCCCTCCCCACCAATGGTCATGACTACTGTTCCCCCCTCGTCATACGGAACCCTCTTCCAGCACTTCACCTACGCTTGCCAGCCCTTCTGGGCCCACCGACTCACGCTAGCTGTCCCGAACGGGATTGTCTATGAGGTTGGCGACTTCCGCGTGCGTCTTGGTGACGTGCGGCAGACGTTCCCGACGGCGCGGATGCGTGGTACAGTCATTGAGATTGAGTGGCGTGGTCCATCGGTTGTGGAAACGATTCCTGTGGACCGGGAGGATGGGTCATTTGGCGCTGGTGTTGGTGGCGATGCAGACGTTGAAGCTGCGGGCATCGACTTCGCTAGTTCTGCGATTGAGGAGTCGGATATCGATGCGGAATATGCAGCGACTGCGTCGCTGATTAGAGAGTTTTGGGGGAGATTGGGTGTCGAGGCTAGGGAGGCGATTCTTATCCCAAATGTTGGGATGGAGGTCAAGGAGCGGTTGAGGAGGTGGAAGAAGGCTGGCTCTGGGGTTGATGCTAGGGCTGATACTAGTGTTGATGGGGCTGGCTCTATGGTTAGTGAGCGTACTGAGGAAGATCCTGATCCATGGTCTGGGGCGGATGTTGCTAGGCAGTTTATGGAGGTCTTGAGGTTTAATAGATAGTCGGACGCTCAAATGGTTGGGGATTGATGGCTACTTTTGTACGCTTTCTACGGTATTTTGTGAGTATGGCTGGGTAACAAGGTGGCGAAGTTGAAACAAGCCCGGCACCATCAGGGTTATAGGGAGAGAGCCATCATTCCTATATTATGAACACTTGACCCAAAGTACCGCCCAGTCCATTCGGTCTCATTTCAAAGCACTCGCTTGATCGTAAATCATCCAAGATGTATAGCCTAGCAAGCATAGACTACAGGAAATCGGTATTGGAAAATTGAAATGGAAGAGAAACATTCTCGTTAAAAAACCGCGACGTCAGCTAACATGGAAAAAGGCGCACGGTGCGAATGCGTCGTTTATTTTTGCATCATGAGCTGGACGAACTCGTTGTCTGTATAAATGGGGAGGTTAGCATTCGGGAAGGCAAGTGCCGGTAGGCTCCAAGGTTCCAAAACATACAGTCGATCCGGCCATCACCATCCTGGTCCGCCTCGCGGATCATCTCGTCAACCTCGTCGTCGGTCAGCTTCTCACCGATTGAAGTCATGACGTGGCGCAGCTCGGCAGCGGAAATGAATCCGTTGTTGTCGCGATCGAAAACCTTGAATGCCTCACGGATCTCCTCCTCGGAATCAGTATCCTTCATCTTACGAGCCATCATGGTCAGGAATTCTATCGCACGTCAATAACCGTCTCTTATTTATATCAGTGGGGTATGGAGCAAGTACCGGGGAAGTCAATGGTGCCGTTGTTGTCGGCGTCGACCTCGTTGATCATATCCTGCAGTTCGGACTCGGAGGGGTTCTGGCCCAGCGAGCGCATGACGGTACCAAGCTCCTTGGTGGTGATTTGTCCTATTGGTAGGATTGTATGTTAGAATACCTTGCTCTTAATATTCGAAAGCAGAGGACGCTGCTGTGGGCTCAACTGAGCTGTCGGGCGCAACCACACGTACCATCGCCATCCTTGTCCTATTTCGCAAAACAAACTCCCGGTCAGCATATCTTCAATATCTTCAATCTGTAGGAATCACTCACAAACAGGGAGAAGGCCTCCTTGTACTCAGACACTTGCTCTTCAGTGAGGGAATCAGCCTAGAGAATGCGATGGTCAGTTCAAGAACGGTGATACCCCGCAATGTGGGGGTTTTTTCGACGACACAACATGGTATTAGGCTGGAGGATAATATGGGAGGGGATCAGAGACATACCATGATGAATGTAGATGGGGGGAAAATACAGAGAAAGGGAGGGGTCAAACGAAGAGGGTTAAGGGGAACAACCTTCGACCAAAATAGCGTGCCTGAGGGTGCCCAGTCAGCGTCGTTTCATCTCAGGGCGGTAGGACCCTCCCAGGGCTGAATGGGCTGAAATGTTGCCACACTTGACCTCTACTTTTATTTATGATAATGGTTCGATTCTAGCTAGCTATTTCCAAGGTATATATATATACCTAGGTATGCTATATATACCTTATATAACCTATATGACACCCAATGTAACAAAGCTTGGTCCTCGGGCTCCAAGACTATGCTGAGTCTATGCAGACCAGCCATGAAGCCTAATCGTATTAGGAAGGTCTTGGCTTTTGTTTTATTGATTTCTTTTTATCTTTAGACCTGTGTAGGGCTGGTGTAGGCTGCGGGGTGGATTGATACTAGTAGATCTAGAACCAAACAGACATTTGAAGACATATAATAGTCTACATATCCTAGTGATGAAATATAGTTGTTAGTTTGACTTCGAATTTGCAAACATCCATACACCTAGTAATATAAGCCACTTTCAAATTGAGCAAGCCATTACATAGACACAATTCTTTTTTTAAATACCGGAGAATATATAGGAACATTTGAATATGTATAAGTCAAGCTCCAGGTCTTTACGGGTTACATAACCATACCAAAATTACCCCTCTCCACGTGGACAAAACCAAGGATTACATGATGGATACCTAACCCCTTCATATGTGGAGAGCTCCTATCACCTCCGGTTACTTTGAGACTCTAAGTAACATTCCCACTTGATTATGATTCCTATAACCTCACCAAATCAATAAACCCAACACTTCCGCCCTCACAATGTGGCGGGATCGCACCAACCTGTACGCAACCCTACCCTACCCCAAGCGCAACCCCCGGAGAGAAAGGAAGAAAGAAAAGAAGCACTCATAGAACACAACCTACGAAGCATAGTAACTAACACTTCAATTCCAACCCCAGATACCTCTCCTACCGCCAATCCCTAATCCATCGCCCAGCCAAAAAGCCACAATTCACACCAACAAATGGCTTCCCCGACACACCCTCGCACCCGGAGGAAAACTGGCACCTAATACCCGAAACAGACGAAGATGGCGACATGGTCATCGAGATGGACCTTCTCCCACCGCGCTGGGTCGACGTGCAGGAAGAGGTCTCCGAGCTATTATCCGAGATCGCCCAGAACTCCGCCCAGCTGGACAAACTACACCAAAAACACTTGCTCCCTGGATTCGGTGACGAGGACTTGCGCAGGCAGGATGAAGGCGTCATTGAGCGCTTGACGCAGGATATCACGCGCTCTTTTCATAATTGCCAGCGCTCTATCATGCGCATCGAGACCATGGTGGGCGAGTCTAAGGCGCATGGTGGTGTTACCAGTGGAGAGGAGACTATGGCGAAGAATATTCAGATATCGCTTGCTGCCAGGGTGCAGGAGGCTAGTGCCAGGTTTAGGAAGAAACAGAGTACTTATTTACGGAGTATGGGACCCTTCTTTCTTTTTGTGTTCTGGTTCTGGTTCTCTTCCCGCGGAGCCGGGATCGGTTGGTCCAAATAAGCTAATGTGGTGATTTGTTTCTGTGCAGAATTACGAGACCTCGAGGGTATCGCGACGCCATTTGATGGCACGCCTACGCAGGCCCAGAACCCATACACGGATCCGTCGATGATGGAGTCAGATGCTGATAGGTCATTTTCGCAGACGATGTTGCAGCAGACTTCGCAGCGGCAGACCGGCCAGAATGATGCTGCTATTGCGCAGCGGGAGCGAGAAATCAACGATATCGCGAAGGGAATTATTGAGCTCGCGGATATATTCCGTGAACTGCAGAGCATGATTATCGACCAAGGAACTATGCTGGACCGTATAGATTACAACGTCGAGCGAATGGGCACCGAGGTTAAGGCTGCAGACAAGGAGCTTAAAGTGGTATGTTCTGTTTTTGCCAGCAACTTTTCTTTCCTCCACTTCTGGTATGTCGTCAGGACGAAAAGCTGACTCATATAGGCTACGGGTTATCAAAAACGAACCACTAAGCGCAAGATCATGCTGTTACTCTTCCTGATCATAGTGGGAATGATCATTGTACTGGTTGTGAAACCAAAGGGAGGCAGTTCAGCGCCGCCACCACCTGCACCCCCAGAGGATGAATCTTCAAACAACATCCGGTCTGTGTTGGTTAACCGGGTGCGAAGGCATCAGCTGTCGAACCGCTTTGCGCGAGATCGCTGGATGGATCCGGATATACTCCGATGATTTTTCTTTTTGCAAATAGCATTGGTTCATAGTTAATGTGACCCGAAGGGCAGGCATTCCTTTTACATATCGGTAATTGCTGTAGGTTTTCATAGTAAGGAGACACGAACCATGGATGTATATGTTGTATGGAGAGGGTGCTAGCCATCATGCACGACATTTACACGGAAAAAATTCGGGGAAAGTCCGACTACAGTGTGGTTAATACCATATGTTACATGTTCCAACTCTCACATTTAGTTACTTCATACACGAAAGATTGCAAATGATGTCCAACATAAACCGAAACAAGCATGCCTAAGAAGCAGCCGATGAAATAGAAAAGAATTGACTAAATCACACCAAACAAAGGCAGCCGCTCATAAAAATTACCAAGGAAATATACGACCTTGACCGTAATGCATCAAGATCACTTACTGTTTACCCTGACTAGCAAGCAAGTCAGCCACATCAGCATCGAGATCGCCGCCTGCAAACGCCGCATAGTCCTCCTCGCCATGCGAGATCTTGCGCCTCTTTGCGTGGCCGTCGGCAGTGATATCGAAGTTATTGTCATGGTTTGGAGAAACGGTAGTGGATTGATCTGCGACAGCCCCTTGGCCTGACTCCTGAATGTTGGGGATGGTCGTGGGGTTCCATTCTGAGCTGTCATCATCCGCCTCTTCGGTGAAAGGGCCGCGGCGAATCTGCTGCTTTTCTGGCTGTGGGGACCCGACCGGCGTGATAGCTTCCACCGGGGGAGGTGTCAAAGCTTCGACTTCTGGGCGGGCGGATGCAGCATCGTGTCCGCTGTGTTCACCGGGATTTATGGAGGACTCTTCACTGGGCAGACCGCGCATAATCGCATCTTCGACCTCGCGCTTTTTGGTATCGACTGAGACCTTCTTCTGTGAGAGCTCGGCACTAAAGGCCTCCTCCTTTGATAGCTCTGCACGGTTTGTCTGGAGGATCTTCTCGAGACCATCGATTAAGGCGCGGCGCGACTTGATCACCTCGGAGACGGAGTTTTCTGCGTTGGCAAGCGTCTTCAAGAGCGAACTTAGGCGTGCGGCATGAACTGGCAGCGTAGGCTTCGGGGTCTTGGGATCATGGAGCTTGTCGAACTCCGAATTAGCGGTTGTGGCGGAGTTGTTGGAGTTGATCGCGGCTTTGGTGAGAGCAACCTGCAATGAGTTGAGAGGCTGTAGTTCGGAAGGAGTGGATCCCGAAGAAGTGTCCTTGAAGAAAGAGCCCCCAAGGGTCTGCTTCTTGTTTGTAGGACGAGCTTTGTCGAGTTCTGAAACATGGTCAGTTTAGCTGGTCCCTCCCCATGCCCATTGATTCAACATACCATCTATACGAGCTTCCACTGCATCCAAAATAGCCCCGTCAAAGACATTGCGTTGTCTCCAGACCTCCACGACTCGGCGGATCCTTTGTTGGTATTCACTCGAGGAGCCTTTGTAAGCCGCTGAGGTCGCATCGACGATTATCTATTGTTCTGTTAGTTTTTGGGTTGGAATGACCAGTTGGTAGGGGACGAACTGGAGATAGCGCAATGAGGAAGTCATTTTTTCCGCGTACTTTGGATTGCTGGGCCACCTCTATAGATATGATTAGCAGGCGGAACGAAGCTCGGGTGTAGAAGGGTTCATGTACCATTGGCTAGGTAGATCAGGTTGAGTCGCTTCGGAGGCGGCGAGTCGCGAATCTTTTGAAGCCAAATTTGTCCAGTCCGCTCAGCATGGCGTCTAGTTACAGACAAAAACATTAGCAAGTTTCTTTGAAGTTGGAGCATGTGTCTGTACCTATGGAACATGACCCATTGTGCAACAGTAACGATGCTCTCCTGTGAGTCATTCAGAGCCGATAGCTTTGCTTTGACAGCGTCATCGGTGAAAGCCATGATGATGAAAAAATAAACTAGAATGAGCTTTTGAGAAGTGAGATAATCAGATCCTAGAAGCGCAAGCCGCAATCGCTGTTGATAGGTAACGAGCAATTGAAGATCGCTGGTGAGTACTAGAACTGCTTTTAAGTTCCAATCAAGTAAAGTCACTGAAACAAAGCTAAAGAAGTATCAAAGGAAGATTTCAACTCTCAAAGCTCTTTATCACAAGTGAAGTTGAAGTGGTTTGTACCCCAAGCTTGAAACATGGATAAGCTTACCGCCCCGGAAGCGGCAGAACAACGGGGCTCCGAGCCCGCCCCGGCCACACCTGTCAACACTACTACTTCCTATAACCATCAACTTCCTGGCCCTTTGACTTCTCCTAACGATCATCTTCTTGATTTAAACTTCTTTATTGAATCATACAACAGTCAAAGACAATCAATTCCCAGCATGGCTGATCGTTTCCCTTCCCTAGAGGACTTCTCTGAGGGTATTCTCAACCCACCTTACTTGCTCTTGCTCCCCTTACACCGGAGCTAACATGACCCGCATTTAGGCCAAACCGAAGTAGCCGACGTCCAGAGCACCACAGATGATGATTTCCTTGCTCGTGAGCGCGCTGCACTCGGTGAAGATGCCGACCTATTTGCTACTTCTCAAGACCACGTTGCCGGCCGCCAGAACGTAATCGCGGACGACCTACTCGGCGCAGGCGACGAGCCCGTCGAGGAGATCGGTCAATTTGAATCATCCTTCCCTTCAGTGGCCACACAGAACCAGAATGAGGTATTAATTGGTTATTGGATACACGGTGGTGAACATACAGTATGCTGACCAAGGGTTACATCTATGCAGCGCGTTGCTCCCGGTGGCACAATCACCGGCTCCGGCTCACCATTCCCCCGCACCGGTTATCAGAGTGCCCAGGAACCCGAAGACGAGGGAGATGCTGTTCGGTGAGTCTAATTTCAAGTTCTGGATCGCCGGGCGCATAGCCTTTGCGACCTGCATTCATCTTGTTTCGGCCCGGATCCCCAAACTAACTTCTGTGTTTCAATTTCTCAGTGAATGGCGCGAGAAGCGCGATGCCGAGATCGCCCGCCGTGCAGAGGTCTCCTCCGAAAAGAAGGCTGCTACCGTCAAGAAGGCACAGGAGGACATTGACGACTTCTACGTTTCATACAACAACAAGGCCGATAAGAACCGCTCCCACGCCCGCGCCGAGGCCGAACAGTTCCTTGCCAACCGGGAGGACACCTCCGCCGGTGGCACCAGCTGGGAGCGCATTGCTAAGCTGGTTGATGTTTCGGGCAAGGGCTCCGCAGGCGGTGCCAGCGGCTCCGGAAAGGAGCGTTTCCGTGAATTGTTGATCGACCTTCGAAAAGATCAGGAAGCTCCCGGCGCCAGCGGTATCTAGGTGGTTTGGTTGGCGCGTTGGGGATAGAAGATTCGGAGGTCCGGGGTAAAGACGTGGTACTTCTCAAGTTTTCCACATTTACTCATATGATATGGCCTTTTCTACATCCCCCTCCTCGCATTATTTGGTAGCCTGACCGGCATCTGGCAGATATGTCTGTTCTCATTATTTTATTCTACTCCACGCAGCGAAGTCTCTAGGGGATTTGTAAATTAGGATCTCACTCAAATTGATAGCATCGTTAATACCACGGGTTTCCTTCTCCAGTCAATTAGTCCTGGTTATTAGGTATATATCGCATCTGCTAAACCTAGACCAGTTGAATGAACACTAACAAAATCTTGGAAGTAGTCGGTTTTCGGATCAAGAGAAACAAATGCATGCTGAATTTGTATCATCGCTTTTTTGCTAGTCAAGCTCGGTAACGTCACCACCGGGCTCACCAACATCCTGCTTTCCCTCTTCTTCCAATTCCTTCAGTTTCTTCTGGCCCTCCGCTGTCGTGGCATCCACGATACCTTCCTCCAAGCTAAGCATGCCACCATTGCCCAATTGCTCCACGATGACCTCTGCCTCCTCAACGGACATCTTGCCGAGAACCTTGTTGACTTCGTCCAGGGACTCGGTTGCCAATGCCTTCTGCAGGTCTTCAGGGAAAGCGTCGAAGATCTTGCGCACCTCAATCTCAGTGGGGTCCTCACTGTTGGCAGCGGGCAGGTTGATGGTAATTTTGGTATTGGGGTCCACGGCGTGTAGCTGGATTTGCTCTACGCCCGCAGGATCGTTGGATGCCGAGCCATCCTTACTGAGTTCGGCGGAGCGAGTTTTGATACGATTGTAAGTTTCATTGACATCATTAAGGAATAGGGTTGAAGCACGGTGATCCTTGGTAGTGACGCTGGGAGTTATCTGTTAGCTATTGACCGAAAAAAAGCAGGAGATTGACATACCGAGTGAAGAACAGCTGGATACCGTCACGGCCAAGCGAACGGCAGTATTGCAGAAGCAGACCTTGGTGCACGCACTGGCGAGCATACGCATCTTTGCCCTTGAGCTGACTGTTGAATGCCTCAACAAGTAGACCGTCGGTCTCTTTCTCGGCGAGAATGTCTGGGTTCGCTGAGATGAACTGTAGATAGGCGCTGTAGTCTCCGGGCTTGAGCTGAGCAAACTTCTTTGCCAGCGGGCTAATCTCGATATCGGCAGGATCATCATCATCGCCTTCATCGTCAGCCTTGGCGGTGGAGCTTCCCGCACCAGGGTTCAGAAGTTCAACAGAGGTCTCCTTTGTTTTAACAGCCGCCTTCTCCTTCTCAGCAACCTTGGAAACATGTGATTGGTTGAAACCTTCGTGTAGCTTATCACTGGTGATCTTGGCGCTTTCCTCCTTCTCAAGTTGCGCAAGCTTCGCAAACAATTCCTTTTGGAGCCCTTGGATCTTTTCCAAGTGTCCATTCACACCCTGAATGTATGCCTTGAAGAGGTTCTCAGGCTTAGAATCCCCAATTTCCTTCTTCACTTGATCCACTAGTGAACTTATCATCTGGGAGAACTTCGGTTGTTCTGCCTCATGTGTGTATACTCCCTCCGGCGGGGTGGGGGCCTGGTCATCGGCGGGGTTGCTTGCGAACTCCATAATTGTCGTGAAAATGAACTCATCGGGTGAAGCAGATGAGTCTTCGTGCTTCTTGAGAGACTCGAGAAGCTTAT